CAATGAAGATGAGTGTGTCAATTCTTCAGAGAGGAGGGGGAGAAGAGTTTCACTGTCGCCAATTCAGCGTGGAACAGTACATGATCTGTGAGAACCTTCAGCCAGTCGAAAGGTAAAAGAAAATGCAGACAGGTGTAATTCTCCAAACTAAGCTGCCTGGTAGAAGAGCAGCTCTGTGAAGTTTCATTCGTTACATTTGTTACATTAGGTGCATTCATTAGTTACATTCACGTATTCATTCCGGAGGGAAACAGACACAGTGTTTGGTTCAAAGAGAAAATCATTGCCCACAGCACTTGATTCAGCTGCCCAAGTCCCCAGGTCACGTGCATGTAAGAAACTGGGATGGATCCTATTGACTGTCACCCAGGCCTGATCAAATCTCATCTGGTAGACAGGCCTCTGAGCATGCCTAGGAGGGGGTTTCTAGATTATATTGATTAAGGTAGGAAACCTCACCCTAACTGTGGGTGGCTTTATGCCATGGGCTGGGGGAGCTGGGCTGAATAAAAAGAACTCGAGCTAAGTACAAGCATTCTTCTCTGCTTCCTGAGTGAAGATGCCATGTGCCTCCCTCTCCTGCCACCATGCTCTCTGTGCTATAGTAGACCATGCCCTGGAAATGTGAGCCAGATCAAACCTTTCCTTAAGTTGCTTGTGTTGGGTGTTTTGTCATAGCACTGAGATAAGTAATTAATACAGAGGCTCACCCAGGGGAGGAGCCCACCTGGAAGACCCTGAGCTTACTCAGGCAACTCCTTCCTCTCTCCCCTTCCTGTTTCGTATTGAGGGAAGAGAAGATGAAAGAGGCGTCTATTTTGGAAAGTAAAGAGAAAGTCTATTTTCTGGGATCCCAGCCATTCAGTCTTGCTTTAGTCCAGGATGGCAGGATCCTGCTAAGACATGATTAAGCAGGAATATTAAGATACAAATGGAGAGGAGGTTCCTAGCAAGAAAGGGCTGCTATGATTTAATAGTTGACGCTATACTGATTCTCTCTGCTCACACCTTTCTAGAAACACCTCAGTCCCTGTTATATTTGCACTGTCTCGACTCCCCACACGTTTTTGTTTGCTGCACTCCTGGTTATCTGCTTGTTCCCACCAGGGCCCTGCGTATCTGCAAAGATGCCCTTCTGAAACCCCAAGGGCCTAGGGTACACCAGTGAACTCCTTTTCTTTCTCTGTCTTCCGAATCTTTAGGACTGCCTGATGGCTGCTCTGATGATTTTGGCCTTCCTGAGAGTGGAGGCCTGTGGTGCCTGTTCTGTTCTGAGGAAATAAACTATAATCCTGAAGCAGTAAATGGACCTTCTGATATCACCCAGAACCAGATCTAGAACTGATGGAATGAATGTGTGCTGTGGACTAGAGACTGGATTCAGCTATACACAGAAGCACCAATCTCCACCTCAGGACTGCCCTCCCACAGGCAAGCAAGACAATGCAGAAAATCGGAGACACCAGGGTGCTCCAGCAGCAGCAGCAGCAGCAGCAACAACAGCATTAAGTAATTATGAATACTATTCTCCAAGGTTCCTCTTCAAACTGTCATTTTAGGAACATGAGTCTGAGGAATGGTGTGAAATTTTAATGAAACCAGTGAGACTATTATTGAAGAATCAGTGGGGTGCGTGATTATGCACAGTTCCGGCTCTCCCTGATGTGATTCCATCTCTTCTTGATGGGTCAAAAGGCACTCAAGGGCTGGGGAGAGGTCTCAGTGGTGAACTGCCTGTGGTCCGCACATGAGAACCTGAGTTTGGTTCAGTAAAAGCTGGGTGTGGGAGCACACTTCTAGAATGCCAGCACTGGGGGTGGGGGTGAGGGGGTGGAGACATTCGGAGCCATGGAATTTGCTGACAACAAGCCTAGGTGAATTAATGAGGTCCAGATCTGGTGAAAGATCTTGTCTTCAAAAATACAGTGGAGAGCAACTGAGGAAGATCCCCAAAGCTAACTGGACTCCACTTGCACACGCATAAGTGTGTGCCTGCACGCACACATGCATATACCACATGCACACATGCATACACTACATGGACAATTCACACACAATACCACACATACATACACCACGTACACACATCACATACAGAGACCACACACACATATATACACACACATACACCACATACATACATACATATGTACACACACAGATCACACAGGCACACCCACATACACATACATATACCACATACATATATGTGTATATGTCGTCTCCTCCTCTTCCTCCTCTTCCTCCTTCTCCTTGTCCCAACAGAGCTGTTGTGGACATTATTATACTGTGCATCAAGAATTATGGAAAGTAAGTTCCCATTTTACAGCTAGTTGGTTATTTCCTGGACAGATGAGGTCATAAATGCAGCATTTAAATGCTGACAACACACAAGAAAACATCGTTGTAAATTTCGGTGGGGAAAGGAAATCTCTCTTGTGGTAGCTGATTTTAAGATAATCTTCACTCTGATCAGGTTTCCCCCTGTTAAAAATGGAACACGGGTTTTCCTATAGACCACAGGGGCCACTACTATCATTTGCTTTCTCAACAATACTGTCAGTATGGGACATGGGCTTGGAGGTGCCTGAGGTACACAGATAAGTTGGGAAGTGGGTATAGCTTATCAGAGGACGTATGCATGGGTGTGGTGTGCTTGTGTTGGTGCGTGAATGCGTGTGAATGCACGCACATGTGTGCACATGCATCTGGAGTTCAGAGGACAACTTCAGATGTCAGTCCTTAGACAACAACACCCCTGGTCTCTCACTGGCCAAGACTTTGCCAAGTAAGCCAGGCCACTGACCAGCAGGCACTAGACCCATTTCTTTAAGCTTGCCAAGCACTGGCGTTACAAATGTGCAGGCATACCTGGATATTTCTTTAACACAGATCCCGGGGCTTGAACTTGGGTCCTAATGCTTGTATGGCAAACACTTTACCAAATGAGCTATCTCTCCAGCCCAGAAATGGATACATTTGACAAATAACCTTGGCCAGTTAAATGCTGTAGAATAAAACAAACAGAAAACGACTTACAGGATGTTGTGAGAAAATATTCATAGTTGCAGTTAGGTCTGTAATTAGCCATTGTTTTACAAAATTAGCCTTCTGGAACCAAGACTAGCCACCCAGGAATACATTCGAATGACACCAGTGTCAGGTTGGGAAGACTGTGATGTGAGAATCTAGGCCACAGTTACTCACAGGAGCCCTTCTCACAGATACACTGTCTATGAGCCCTTAGCAACAGATTTCTGGGTTCCATGGTCTCTCACCTGCAGAGGAAGTTAAACATAAGGGACTACTAGTGGATGAATCTCCTGCTCTCTACCCACTCCTGCCTGAGAACCAGGCAGCCCGGCTGCAGGCTTGTGTCATGGGCCCTCCCCAATCCTCAGAAAAGCAATAAGACAGGAGCCCACTTCTGCCACTAGAGACTTGATTTCCTCTCTTCAGGGGCCCAGCCACACTGTCTGTCTCTGGTTGGGGCCTAAACTTTCTTCAGAACTCCCATTTTGCTATTGTCTGTTTGTCTATCTGTGTCATAAATAATAACTCTTCTAATAAACTCCGCACCCTCAAAAACCATCCCAGTGTCTCTCTTCTGTCAAGGGTAAGACATATAATGTGACAGCCATTGTGTTAAATAATTCTTCCACCCACAAGGCATCTAGACTCTGAGGACACAAAAGGGCTTTCCTGAGTCCCACACTCAGAATGTAGCTTAAGTGACAGAGCCACAGGTGTCCCCTCTGCTGGCTCTTAGACTTTGTCTATACCTGGTCTCATTAAATGTCCCGATATCCGAGATACACCGATACACCAATGACTTGTTACTGCATAGTATCTATCCTGGTATCTCAGATACATCAATGAACTGTTACAGCATAGTATCTATCCTGACATCCCAGATACACCAGTGACTTGTTACTGTATAGTATCTATCCTGACATCCCAGATACACCAATGACTTGTTACTATAAAGTATCTATCCTGACACCCCAGATACACCAGTGAACTTATACTGTATAGTATCTCCAAAGTGAGGCATACATAGACAATGTACATCAGACGTAATAAACCACAAGATTGCAATCTGCCATGATTTTATTGATTTCAGATTCTAAATGTAGAATTCTCAGATTATCCTGACATAATCTGTTCAGGGGAGGGGGGCACTGCCATTGTGCTTTAGTGTGAGGTGGGTAGAAATGGCGGCATGTCTTCCAGACCAAATCGATTCACCTTCTCACCAACTCTCTTCCTCACTTGTTGTCTGGTCCTACTCCATTGCAAGAGGGTAGAAATGTATACAGGAACAGAATATCATACTGATTTTCTCTTGAGTTTGTTAAGCCTCCTAGCTTGTTGTGGCAATTCTGGGTTCTTTAGTATAAAGAGAAATCAAAAAGAAAAAAAACGATACCTCTTATCTTGGTGTAAGAAGTACAGGGATATCTGGTAGCCTACACGTATGTACAGAATATAAACATATTTATATGTTCTATGTACACAGTGGATGATGGCCTATTCATTATAAAGAGAGTTAATTTAGACTCTACAAAAATAATCATTTTGGATAGGCACATGCAAGCCAGGACACTTAAACATATTTATAAAATACATTTCTATAGATTTTTTTGTTTTGTTTTGTTTGTAAGTATAAATGTTGCTGCTTAGCTGTCGGTAAAATGATTGGGGTGCAAACCCAGAGTCCCCAGTCACATATAAAATCTGCCTCCACCCACTGCAGTACACTGTTTCAAGTATTTGTCCCCAGTGTGTGGCACTAGGTAGGCATATCTTCAATGAGTTACAGGCGCATACCTCATTTGCCCAGGGATTAAAACCCACCCCAAGAATCCAAAGTTCCCTGTTTTTTAAAATATTGTTAAGAGTAGATATTTCTTAAAATAACATCATCTTAGCTTTGACTTTCTTGTAAAAACGGACACAGTCAAGGCCCTGCCTCATGTCCGGGGTCTGGTGGCCCGCACTCAGTGGTTTGCAGAGCCATCCTCATAGGGAGTTGACGGGGAGGCCACAAAAGGCTCGTTTTGCTTCTGCTCCTCCTTCAGGCCGGCCACCTGCTCAGTGATGGAGGAGAAGGACAGCTGGTCGTGCTCCATGATGTGAACTTGGTCTTCATCCTTGTCTTTCTTCACGTAGAACATTTTCCTGAATTTCTTCAGCTCGTGGAGTTCACAGAAGGTCTCCAGGACGACCAACATGGCGATGAGTCCGAGGAGCAGGTAACCTGTGAGGCAGAAAACAGGCAGCATCTTAGTCTGATCTAGTTGCCATAAAATCAAGACGGAACAACTTCTCCCCATCCCACGCCACACACAAGGGTTCTCCAGTAGGTAGGTCCACCCCAGCTGATTTCTAGGAAGGTTTGAATTCCATACATCTCATGGAGGACTGCAGAGAAGAAGAACGAAATGACTTAGCCGCCGATGAACTTGGACTAGTCACAATCACAGGCTTCAGACTGGTGTGTGAGTGAGCGTCAAGTAGGAGGGTGTACCTATGCATGTGAGTGCAGAGGCCAAAGGACACTGGATGTCCTGTCTATCACTCTCCGCTTTATTTCCTTGAGACAATGTCTCTCACTGAACCTGGCATTAGGCTGGTGGCCAGCAAGCCCCAAGATCATCCTGTGTCCACCTCAGCCACCTAGGGCTGCAGGTGTGCAGCCTGCTTTTTATATTGATGCTGGAAATTCAAGCTCAGATTCTTATGCCTGCCGTGGTCATTCTTACCCACCGAGCCATCTCCCCAGGTCTGGCTTCAGCTGTCTTTAAGTGTTAAACACACTTTATTTGATATCATACATAAACCACGTCAGAATGCCGTTCAGGACTAAAAGACAGCAACGTTTGACACAGGGATTTCTTAAATCAGCATCATCAAGAACAGACAGTTGTTTCCTGATGTTTAGCCACTGCCTGTACAGGCCAGTGAACGCAGACTGAAACACAGCTTGGTCTTCTGCTTACTTCTGAGGCAGTGAGGGACTTTTCTTGTGTTTAAACACATTCATGTGCCCAGTTACATAAATCTAAGTATAAAACCGTTCTATTGCTTTTGCAGTGACATCTCATCTTTGTAAAAAGTTGAATGCCACTAATGGAGGAAGAAGAGTGAAAAATTTACACAACTGGAATTGTTATTTTCAAAAGAATGATACCCACTGTACTATGAGTCACTTGTACATAAATCCAAACTGTCCAACAGAAACATTGGTCCACTCATGATCTGAGTTCTGATGTATGAATTGAATGATGGTACACATTAAAAACCACGAGACACTGTTTGTAATAAATAAGGCAGGTGGTATTACTCATCAGGATAAACCATTAGGTCTGCTCTTTCTCCCTTTTTCTTAATCCCAGTGAAGATTATTTCGGTTACTGGGTTGTACTTCTTGGGTTTCTCTAATTACTCAGCATAGCTTCTCCCCAGGTCATGCTTTCGCTCTTGTTAGTGCCTCTGTAAGACAATCCAGAGGCCTGACCTGTCTTCTGCCCAGACAGACCTGGAGATCTGCTCCATGCTATGCCTGCCTGCCCTTTCTGCACTGGGCACACATCTGAACAAGAACCTTCTTGCATTTCTCAACATCAGCCATTTTTAATTTGCTTCGCGCTGCTCAACGTTACTAATGCCTCAGCCTGAAGCCAGGTGTCCCGCTCTCTCCTGGCTTCATTCTTAGAGGAATAAAGCAGTCAATTTTTGCTAATGTAGCTTTGACCTAAGGGTCAAATGGCTTGTAAGAGTCACCCAATGTGACCCTTTCCTCACCAGCTTTAGAATCAGAGACTCACAAAATGTTTTTCCTGTTTCACGAGCAACACTCAATAGTGTTGTCACAAATTTCTGCTTCCTGAGCCACCTATGACATCACTGCCAGTGTTTGGCCACATGGAACATTCACTAGATAAGTTTTCTTATTCCTGAAGGATAGCCACTACTTCTTAGAACGTGTGATGGGCAAACAGTGATTTTTAAGTCAGTTTCAACATAAAAAAAAAAAGTCAGGAAATCTGAACATCTGAAGTACTCATTTCATGTCCCAGGAGTAAATCATAAAAGAAAGATTTCCAGAAAAGGCAGACAAGGAAAGTTAAAGTTCGAATTGTTGGGGCTTGGATGGGCCCTGAATATGCCAGGCATGATTTAGTCATCTTCAGCTTTGACTGTTGGCTTTGGCAGTAAGCTGGTGCCACGGGGACTCTCTGGTGTTTGGCAGTACCACTGTTAGTCACTAGAAGAATCTTCTCCCGCGGTGGTTATTATTTAACCAGACTCTGGAACGCTGTCAGAAGAGCCCACGGGGTTTCAGGCAAGCTTTTATCCCACCTACATCTTTGGAACATTTATTCCTTACATGACCAAGTCCTGAACACTTCAAGCATAAAAATCTGTCCTGGTTGGCTGCCTGAGAAACAAGGTCCACACTGTAACAAGAGAGCAGGTTAAGGGAGGATTTAGTATTCTGTGGAAAGCTGAGAGCGCTCATGTACCAGTAGAAAGAAGATGGTAATTTACACAGAGAAAAGTGTAGCCAGAACACACAACCAAGGGGACCTTCTATGTCTCTAACTTATGAAGAAATTAGAAAGCAAAATGGAAGTTAAACAATTGCCTGCTAGCTTTAAAAAAGTTAAGATGATATCTATATTGTCATCAAAACCACATACAATTTTTT